GCCTACAATTCGTGAAGGAGATGATTGGAAGACCACTTCTATACCTCAAGATGGAGAAATGTCAGTTTCATCAGTCTGAAATCCAATTTCTTGGCTACAACATCAGTCAACAAGTCTCTGTCCTGGTTTCCTGCAGCCACAGAGGCTTTTGAGAAGCTGAAGCAGGCCTTTGCACAGCACTGCTACTAGTCCATCCTCATCCTGACAAACCCTTCACTGTCGAAGTGGATGCATCCACCACAGGTGTCAGAGCAGTGCTCTCTCAGCAGCAGGAGATGCCGCCAAAACTCCATCCATGCGCTCTCTTCTCCCAAATCCAGCCAATCCAGTGGAAAGAATGAATGAATGAGGCATTTATATAATGCTTTATTGTGTATTGCTGTACACCCAAAGCGCTTTACAATTATATGGGTGGATCTCTCCTCAACCACCACCAGTGTGCAGCATCCACCTGGATGATGCGACGGCAGCCACAGTACAACGGCGCTAGTGCGCTCACCACACACCAGCTATAGGTGGAGAGGAGAGAGAGATCGAGCCAATTCAGTGGATGGGTATTATTGGCCAGGATGGAATTTGGCCAGGACACCGGGCTTACACCCCTACTCTTTACGAGAAGTGCCATGGGATTTTTAATGACCACAGAGAGTCAGGACCTCGGTTTAATGTCTCATCTGAAGGACGGTGCTTTTTACAGTATAGTGTTCCCATCACTATAATGGGGCATTAGAACCCACACAGACCACAGGGTGAGCACCCCCTGCTGGTCTCACTAACAACTCTTCCAACAGCTACCTAGTTTTTTCAGGAGGTCTCCCATCCAGGCACTGACCAGGCTCAACCCTGCTTAGCTTCAATAGGCAACTAGTCTAGGGCTGCAGGGTGATATGGCTGTTGAAAGAAGATGAACCCGAGTCCAGTGTTTCCAAAAATCTTCCACCGGGCTGCCCTCATGATCTTCAGTATGTTCCCAGATCCCAACGTCTAATCCAAGTCTAATCCAACCTTCACATTCTTCAGTGGGCACTGGTCACCCTGGGGCCAGTCAAACCCTCTCTCTATTATGAAATTGTTTCTGGTGGGCGAACATGGCAAGAGACATCAGACGGTTTGTGAGAGGATGTAAGGATTGTGCTATCCTGAAGACTCCTCGCCACCTACCATCAGGCAAGCTCCATCCTCTGTTCATTCCAAACTGCCCTCGACCATGTCTTCCATTACTTAAGCCTTCCGGAAGACATTGTCTCTGACTGCAGTCCACAATTCATTTCCAGAGTTTGTAAGGGTTTCTTGAAGCTCCTTGATTTCACTGTGACTTTATCCTCAGTTTATCGCAGTTGAATTGGCAGATGGAACGGAAGGTCTAAGAGATCGGTCACTACCTCTGAACCTTTTGCCATCGCCATCAGAACACCTGAAGTCAGTTCATTGCCTGGGCAGAGTATGCACAGAACTCCCTACATCAATAAAGCACCTGTCTGGCCCCATTCTGTCCCACTTGTGGACTACTGGTTCCAGGAAAGCTTGAGGGTCTGGTACTCAGCTCATCACCATCTAGAGGGAGCCATGCGCTGTCAGAGGGGTCATGCTGATGTCTGGCAGACCTCAAAACCATCCTATCAACCCAGGCAGAAGATATGGCTCTCAGCTAAGGACACTTGGTTACATCTTCCCTGCAAGAAGCTGAGTCCCTGATTCTTCGGCCAATTTGAGATTGAGAGTCAGATTAACCCCATCACCTTTAAATTGAAGTTGATCAGCACTACAGAATTTATCCTGTCTTCCACGTCTCCCATTTAAAACCCTATCACTCACCTGTTACTTCTTCCTCCACAGAGCCTGGTACCGTTGACGAACCCCCTCTGCCACCAGTTGAGGACCATGGAGGTATGTACACAGTTCAAGACATTCTGGACTCCCGGCGCCGAGGTGGTCTTCTGAAGTATTTGGCAAACAGAAAAATACGGCCCAGAGGAAAGATCCCGGGTTTCCAGAAATGACATCCTCGACCCTGAACTACTTACCTTCTTCCACGAGAGAAATTCTGATGGCCGAGGGCGGCCACCTCAACGTATATAATAGTAACTTGAAGACACTAAAATAAAACTGAACACAGGGCCACATAAATATTATTTTATATTTAGACTATTTGCTCTGACAGAAAAATTGGTTACACTTTATTTTGAAAGTCCACTTTAGACATTCTACTAACTATAAGTAACTTTGCAACTACATGTCAACTAATTCTCATTAATTTGCAACTACATGTCTGCTAAATCTAAGAGTAGACTGTTAGGTTAGGTTTAGGGTTAGTAGAATAAGTTGACATGTACTTACAAAGTTTCTCATAGTCAGCATGTTGTATGTTGTGGACCCATCAAAATAAAGTGTTAGAAGATATTAAGCAGACAGTCTACTAATACTCTATCCCCCGGTTTCACAGAAAAGGCTTAAGTCTAGACCCAGACTAAAATGTAAGTCTGAGCTGTTTTAACTGAAAGGAACTTGCACTGACTGATCTTAAAATATATCAGTGCCTCTGTTTTGTCTCAAGATGCACACCAGTAATGTTTTTCTAAAGCACGTTAATAAAAATTACTTAAATGTCCTAATTGAACTATTGCCTAGTCCTGGCTTAGTCTAAGCCCTGTCTGTGAAACCAGGACCTTAACTGCTAGTTGACATGTAGTTGCAAAGTTACTTATACTGTTTCTAGAATGTCTAAAGTGGACTATCAAAATAAAGTGTTACAAACATTGATATCAGTGACATTTAATAACATTGATTGTAATCGTGTGCAAATCCTCACCAAGACTAAGGAACCTGCTATTGAATCAGATAAATGTGATAGTCTGCATAGTTGTTCATCTTCAATGCAAGTGGAATGTAAAGTTCAGACAAAACATCAGTCTGCTGAAATCATGACTTCAATCGTGCTGTAGTTATTTTTATTTTATTTTATTTTAGCATTTAAATGCAAAGCCCATTGCTTATAGCAGACAATTAGATTTCTGACATTAGCTGTCTTAATTAATTTATTGTTAAAGGCAATGAATTTGTACAAAAAGTTCTGCTTTAAAGACTGTAACAGTGCTGCTGTGCATGGTATGAATTTAAACTTCTTAGAGATTATTAAACCATGATACTGGCTGGCAGTCAGGTTAATCTCAATTGTTAGCTAAAAATAAAAGAAAGACAATCTAGATAAATAGTCAATCTCATTATAAGACTAGTCGTTTTAGGACTAGTTGACCATCCCGGCCCAATTATATTTTGGGAACTGCTCGATTTCTCTTTATATTAGACAAGTTTTCTCAATCTGTAAAGTTTTTGCTGTGGCCCCCATTTCAGAAGTAACTCAAGTGATCTGATTTTATATATGGAACAATAGGTATGCTAAGCTTTATGAGATATGCTATGTATGGTAGCATTGTGACTAACCACATCATGAATTCAGTTGCGCTTGACAGATATTTCCTAGTCATCTGTAGAGTGATTCCATGTGAACTGAACATTTGCACATTAGCATAACATTAGCACTCTTTCGTTATTTTCTACATTCAGCAAGTTGTATGCATTTCCACAGCAGTAACATGAATTAATTCAGCACGGCTGCCAAAACCTGTGCATGTTTTCGAACTAAGGTTACAGAATACTGCAGTGTATTGGTTTCAGGTGCTGGTATTGAATGCATTTTTAGCCTCTCTCACACACAAAGACTTTTGTCTGGAGTCAGGGCTGCTTGCCATTCCCTGCCAAACCTCGGCATTGTGGGACGATGAACTTTGGAAAATCACTGAGCTTTCTCATTTTAACAGAGCAGCCTAATGAAAGCTGTGACTTGTTAAGTGTTCAAAAACTCCTCCAGCTGGGAAAACCATTAAGATCAGGAGATTTTTTCGATGGTAAATTAAGAAAATATTTCTGCTTGTCTTGGCCAAGAACCACCTCTTACAGACACTCAGAATGGGGCTTTCTGTTAGTTATAACTCGCTCCCATTCTAACAGAGTCCCTGAAGGAATTACACAGTAGAATTCATGGCCTGTAGTTTTCGCAATTGCCATATCAAAGCAATCATGAAATGTAGACCTGCATAGGTCTGTATGCACTGAATATTGCCAAGTTAGTTAGAGGAGAGTAGGGTAAGATCAGTCAGTGCATTTAATATGTACTTAATATGACCAAGTATTTGAACAGTGTAGCATAAACATGCCTGTAATTGAGATGTGTACATTAATAATAATAAAAAAAATGTTATCTGTAAACATATTTTGCTTGTCAAAATGGAAGGTCATTTTTTGGTAACACTTTATTTTGAAGTCCAAGTTTTGTAGTCCACTTTAGACATTCTACAAACAGTATACGTAACCTTGCCACTACATGTCAACTAGCAGTCATTAGAGTATTAGTAGACTGTCTGCTTAATATCTTCTATCAATTTATTTTGATGGGTCCACAACATACAACATACTGACTATAAGAAACTTTGCAAGTATATGTCAACTTATTCTACTAACCCTAAACCTAACCTCAGTCTACTCTGAGAGTTAGTAGACATGTAGTTACAAATTAATGAGAGTTAGTAGGCATGTAGTTGCAAAGTTACTTATAGTTAGTAGAATGTCTAAAGTGGACTATCAAAATAAAGTGCAAGCTCATTGTTATTTGATATATTATAATATATTATTAATTTTTATATTTGTATACAGAGTTATTATTTTTGCTAGTTTTTGTTATTTTAATACATCAAGTTAAACCAAATAAAAATGTGAATATTTATTATGTAGCCTTGGCAACTAGCTGAAATAAAATAAGTTTAAGTGGTAATAAAGATATGGTGGGTAAATTAGACATTTCTCAAGTCGCAAAACAAAATGAAGAAACATGAATCTAGTCCAATGACAGTTTTTTGACAACGTTATAGCAACATAAAAAGCAAATTAAGATGATTGCAAACATGCAACTTAAAAAATAAATAACAGTAAATTAGTACCTTTCCTGGTGAATTCGTATCAGGGTCATTTTGCCTGAACTTCTCCTGCAGAGTCTCAGCCAGCTGACACAACAGGAAACCATTATCTAACCTGTCCATGAAGCTCTCGGCTGTGATTTCCACACCTGATGGAAAAGATGAGAGAAAGAGATGAATATTCCACAAAAGACTATGTTATGATTATGATAACATTTATAGGTATTCATATTAAAAAAAAAAAAAAATTCAAATTAATATGATCAAAAACTAAGCTTATCGAACATATGTAATTTTTGTGTGTGTTTAATTTAATCTTAATTCATATTCATATCAGATTTTAAAGACATTCTCAATAATGACACATAACCCTGTGTCAAATCCAGACATTTGTTGCAGCTATGATTCACAGATAAACACATTTCAGTCCCAAAATCAGAAAAGTGCTTTGGAAGAAAGCAGCTGATTTATTTTGCAACAGTATTCCAGATGAGACACACACAGAGAGAGAGAGTCACAGACTCAATTCTACACAGATCAACATGTGGCGGCTACATTTTACTGACTTCCAGACGATCATTCTTTCTGCATGATGTCACTGTGAAACAGGAGGTGGTGGCAGGGGGTTGGGATATCTGTGGAAAAAGCATATTTTCTCATCCACTATACTTTTTTTTTTTTATAGAGAGGGGGCGTCAGTGGTCGAGGGGGTTCAGATGTTTTAATGAGTTCCAAATGTGGTAATTGAGCCCAGTGAAGAGGAGACGGGGAGCTTGTGAAATTCTTTCTGAACGTGCCTCCCTTGCTCCCCCTTTAAAGAACCAAAATCTACACTACCTATCGCCATATTCAGAATCTAAGAAATTTAAGTAATACATATTGAGAGTGAACAATTACTTTGATATTACTCAAGTTGTCCTGGCAAAATTAAAGGGGCCATGAAATTGATTTTTTTTTTATTATTCTTTTAATATGCTCCTTGAGGACATTTTTTTTGTGCACAAAAAAAATTATATATTTGCAAAAATGATTATTTTCGACCATCATTCTTACCCTCTGTCCAAAATAATCCATATTAAGGAGGCAGTTCATTAAAGGTTTTTCAGTAAACTGATACTTATTTTGTATCAGTTTATAGACAACAGGCTATGAAACTGTTTATTTATGGTTTGCAATGCAGCTGCTGTCAGATCCAATTCTAATTTGTTGGAAGAGGGCTCTTTCAGCAAATTTTTCTTTGCAAACTCTCCATTACATTGTGCCTCATTTACAAAACAATCTGCAATTGAATGCTCGAAACAAATCTGATGTTATCCGAAATTGTTCCACTTGTTCCTGACACTGAAGTCTGTACAGAGAAGCAAACATGCTGTTTAAACCATGTCAAAGCGAACATTGCTTAACCCTTCCATTTGTCCTGTTGTTGGGAGTAGCCTCAAGCATTTGGAGAAATTGAACAGGCAAGTGTATACTGTATCTAGTGTAGATATGGGTTCTATTCGCATTTGAAGCGAAATGACACAACACTCGCATCTAGACTTGTATCAGCCATTAAGCGAGTAAACATCAGTGGGCGGGGCCTATGATGTGATGATGTGAAACTATTTGTCTAAGTCTTGCTCATATGGCAGTCATATCCAAATATATTTGCCTGAGACATCAGAATCTATCTGTGATATCCAACAAAGCAAATTTGTGGAGCTTGTTTAAAAAATTTTTTATGTATTTTTTAATTAATTTATTTGTAGTGTGAAAGATGTTTTAAGCTTGTAGTATGATTTAATGGTACAAAGACCGCTTATATGTCAAAAGATCAAGGAAAATTTGATTTATCATGGTGAATGGTACTAATTGATTATTAGCTTGACACAATTCTTCAAGTCCTATCTAAATTTCCTAAACTGATTGTCAAGATTACATTTAATTAACATCAACAATAAAATCTGACAACAATGGTATAATACATTGTGCTTATTTAGCTCAAACACCACTAGCAAGTAAAAAGTCCAACAACAATTCAAAATAAAAATTAGTAAAACTAACAATAATAGAAAGCCACAAAAAGCCAGTGTATGTTTCATGTATACAAGTGGCTTCTGGTAAGACCAGCAAATGGTCAAATTGTGTTCCTGTAACACAGATCAGTTTCAGAGATCTGAGCAGCTATTTGTCTAAAAAAAACAACACAGAGACAGGCGTAAGCCACTAAAGAGTGTGGACAATCTGGATAGGGAACTAGCGGTTGGTGTGTGGTTGAATATGAAGCCCCTATGTGGCCCACTGTGGCTCCTGGCTTCCTTATGCTCCAGGCAGACCAAAGACAAAGCCCTGGTTTCAGCTGGCTGTTCACGGCCTGGGAGCTGCCAGAAATTCCACAGACATCCCCCTCCATCCACACACACACACACACACACACACACACACACACAGAACCGAAGCCAGGGCCACGACACACTACCATTCTTCTCTCTTCATAATTTGTCTCGTAGTTGAAATGGTGAGTGGCGTTCAGAATCTGATTAATGCTGAGAAATGTTGGAAAAGAAAACATGGACACATGCAGTCATGCCTGCTCATGCACATAAGTCGATTACATTCATCAAAGAAAAAAAAAAGAAAACCTTTATCAAATGATTTAAAATCAAAACATTAAAGAAATGTATGGCACATTAAGGACTGCACGTTTTTAAGGGCTTAAACTTATTGATATCAGCTTAAATTAAATGATATTATATCAAGAAATGATAATATACAAAAGATAAACAGAGCACAACTGGATGTGCCTTAAGCAACTTATGCAAAATAATGAAACATGAATTTAAACAATTCCTCTCCACCATGAACAGAATACACCAGCAGAATGAAGAAGGCCTCAGGACATAGCCTTGTTGCACACCTCATGCATTAGTCAAACTTATGAAATGTACACATGAAAATCCACAGATTGCATTATTAATTGAATGTTTTACTAAAATCTAGAGCCTTTGCAGTTCCAAATCACCACTGGACACATTGCAAATAGAAAACAAAATGTTCAGATGTTACTGTACTTTAATGACCTATTTCTCCCCATTAAAATTATTTTTGTTGAGGTAACCTAACCTGTCAAGTTGTTTCAGTCATGATAAATAATATTTTCGATGCAAATAGAATCAGTTAACCCTCTATGGGTAACCCTTTGGGGAAAAAATATTTCACCTCATTTTTTTGGGAGCTTGGGGATCCCTGATAATATATCCATCAACAATTTGTCACTGCGTGTGTGCCACTGTGTGTCTCACTGCGTATGTGTCACTTCTTGTGTGCCACTGTGTGTCTCGCTGCGTGTGTGCCACTGTGTGTGTCGCTGCTTGTGTGCCACTGCATGTGTGCCGCTGCTTGTGTGCCGCTGCATGTGTCACTACGTGTGTTTCACTGCGTGTGTGCCACTGTGTGTGTCACTGCTTGTGTGCCACTGCGTGTCTGTCACTGCATGTGTGTCACTGCTTGTGTGCCACTGTGTGTGTCACTGCGTGTGTGCCACTGTGTGTGTGCCACTGCGTGTGTGCCACTACTTGTGTGCCACTACTTGTGTGCCACTACATGTGTCACTGCGTATGTGTGTGTGTCACTGCTTGTGTGTAACTGCGTGTGTGTCACTGCGTGTGTGCCACTGTGTGTGTCGTTGCTTGTGTGCCACTGCATGTGTGCCGCTGCTTGTGTGCCGCTGCATGTGTCACTACGTGTGTTTCACTGCGTGTGTGCCACTGTGTGTGTCACTGCTTGTGTGCCACTGCGTGTCTGTCACTGCATGTGTGTCACTGCTTGTGTGCCACACTGCGTGCGTCACTGCGTGTGTGTCACTGCGTGCGTGCCACTGCGTGTGTAACTGCGTGTGTGTCACTGCTTGTGTGCCACTGTGTGTGTCACTGCTTGTGTGTCACTGCTTGTGTGCCATTGTGTCACTGCTTGTGTGCCATTGTGTGTCACTGCTTGTGTGCCATTGTGTGTCACTGTGTGTCTGTCACTGCATGTGTGTCACTGCTTGTGTGTCACTGTGTGTGTCACTGCATGTGTGCCACTGCGTGTGTGCCACTGCGTGTGTCACTGTGTGTGTGTGCCAATGTGTGTGTCACTGCGTGCGTCACTGCGTGTGTGCCACTGCTTGTGTGCCACTGCGTATGTGCCACTGCATGCGTCACTGCGTGCGTCACTGCGTGTGTGCCACTGTGTGCGTCACTGCGTGTGTGCCACTGTGTGCGTCACTGCGTGTGTGCCACTGTGTGCGTCACTGCGTGTGTGCCACTGTGTGCGTCACTGCGTGTGTGCCACTGTGTGCGTCACTGCGTGTGTGCCACTGTGTGCGTCACTGCGTGTGTGCCACTGTGTGCGTCACTGCGTGTGTGCCACTGTGTGCGTCACTGCGTGTGTGCCACTGTGTGCGTCACTGCGTGTGTGCCACTGTGTGCGTCACTGCGTGTGTGCCACTGTGTGCGTCACTGCGTGTGTGCCACTGTGTGCGTCACTGCGTGTGTGCCACTGTGTGCGTCACTGCGTGTGTGCCACTGTGTGCGTCACTGCGTGTGTGCCACTGTGTGCGTCACTGCGTGTGTGCCACTGTGTGCGTCACTGCGTGTGTGCCACTGTGTGCGTCACTGCGTGTGTGCCACTGTGTGCGTCACTGCGTGTGTGCCACTGTGTGCGTCACTGCGTGTGTGCCACTGTGTGCGTCACTGCGTGTGTGCCACTGTGTGCGTCACTGCGTGTGTGCCACTGTGTGCGTCACTGCGTGTGTGCCACTGTGTGCGTCACTGCGTGTGTGCCACTGTGTGCGTCACTGCGTGTGTGCCACTGTGTGCGTCACTGCGTGTGTGCCACTGTGTGCGTCACTGCGTGTGTGCCACTGTGTGCGTCACTGCGTGTGTGCCACTGTGTGCGTCACTGCGTGTGTGCCACTGTGTGCGTCACTGCGTGTGTGCCACTGTGTGCGTCACTGCGTGTGTGCCACTGTGTGCGTCACTGCGTGTGTGCCACTGTGTGCGTCACTGCGTGTGTGCCACTGTGTGCGTCACTGCGTGTGTGCCACTGTGTGCGTCACTGCGTGTGTGCCACTGTGTGCGTCACTGCGTGTGTGCCACTGTGTGCGTCACTGCGTGTGTGCCACTGTGTGCGTCACTGCGTGTGTGCCACTGTGTGCGTCACTGCGTGTGTGCCACTGTGTGCGTCACTGCGTGTGTGCCACTGTGTGCGTCACTGCGTGTGTGCCACTGTGTGCGTCACTGCGTGTGTGCCACTGTGTGCGTCACTGCGTGTGTGCCACTGTGTGTGCCACTGCATATGTGCCACTGCGTGTGTATCACTGCGTGTGTGCCACTGCGTGCGTCACTGCTTGTGTGCCACTGCGTGCATCACTGCTTGTGTGCCACTGCGTGCGTCACTGCGTGTGTGTCACTGCGTGCGTGCCACTGCGTGTGTAACTGCGTGTGTGTCACTGCTTGTGTGCCACTGTGTGTGTCACTGCTTGTGTGTCACTGCTTGTGTGCCATTGTGTCACTGCTTGTGTGCCATTGTGTGTCACTGTGTGTCTGTCACTGCATGTGTGTCACTGCTTGTGTGTCACTGTGTGTGTCACTGCATGTGTGCCACTGCGTGTGTGCCACTGCGTGTGTCACTGTGTGTGTGTGCCAATGTGTGTGTCACTGCATGCGTCACTGCGTGTGTGCCACTGCGTGCGTCACTGCGTGTGTGCCACTGCTTGTGTGCCACTGCTTGTGTGCCACTGTGTGTGTCACTGCGTATGTGTCACTGCTTGTGTGCCACTCTGTGTGTCACTGCGTGTGTGCCACTGTGTGTGTCACTGCTTGTGTGTCACTGCTTGTGTGCCATTGTGTCACTGCTTGTGTGCCATTGTGTGTCACTGTGTGTCTGTCACTGCATGTGTGTCACTGCTTGTGTGTCACTGTGTGTGTCACTGCATGTGTGCCACTGCGTGTGTGCCACTGCGTGTGTCACTGTGTGTGTGTGCCAATGTGTGTGTCACTGCGTGCGTCACTGCGTGTGTGCCACTGCTTGTGTGCCACTGCGTATGTGCCACTGCATGCGTCACTGCGTGCGTCACTGCTGTGTGTGTGTCACTGCGTGTGTGTGTCACTGTGTGTATGTCACTGCGTGTGTGTCACTGTGTGTGTGCCTGCGTGTGTGTCACTGTGTGTGTGAAGATAAAGTTTGCCAGAAAACACTACTCATTTAGTCAGTTTATCAGCTGACAGGCTTGATTCTCTGTGGCAGCATAATAATAATAATATTAATAATAATAATAAATATCAATTACACACATAATGCACATTCTTTGAGTTTTCAGAGCTCGTAAACATAAAAATTCATAGGAGGACTTGAATGCACCATATGGTTCTAAGATGCATCCACACTTTAGCATGATAGGCCTATTGCCTGAACAAAAGTGCTGTAACTTCACAATGTTGCCCCGAGGCAACAAACAAAACAAAAAACACAGTTTTATATATAAATAAAAACAAAATAAGTATTTTAATAATCAAACATACTTATTTACATATTGATGCACATGCATATATTTTTTATATAAAGATATTTAATTTTAAAAATGTTAAACAGTGCTATTTATCTTACCAATTTGTGGCACTGTGTCCCATGCTTTGCTTCCTAAAATG